CTCGAAAACACCACGAGTTTATTTTTTTAGTTTTTTGTCCCCCCCCCCCCCCCCCCCCGGCTCTTTGCAGGAAGAATAAGTAAAAGATAGGGAGTGAGGAGACCTGCTTCTACTGCAGTGCCAGGCTTGGCTGTCATAAGGAATGCACAAGACTTAGAATGAATGTTAGCACTGGGGTTTTCAGTTACTTTCAAATTTTGAGTGTTCCTGGACTTCAGCCAAGACCATACAACATGCCTCAGTCTGATACCTGGAACAGTGTCTTCCTGGAAGCCCTAGAGCTGGAACAATAAAGGTGTTTGGGTGGGGGTGGGAGGAAGTAGGACAGGACTGGGATGAGGATGCACGCAATGGTCCTGCATCAGCATTTGTTAGATTAAGATCCTGCAGATTGCTCTGCTGCCTCTTGAAATCTACTGATGTCAGGTACCCCCTGCAGTGTATGGCTGAAGTGCATTGGCAAGGAAGCCTGGGAAGTTGATTATAGCTGGCTAAAGCAGCTGTTTACTCACTTGCAATCAAGAATTGCAAAACTTTTAAACCTGCTTTAGTTCTGGTATGAAAGGCCTGTATCCTCAGGATTTTGTATTTGGGGCCTGTAAAGAAAAGACCTTGGCCTTAAACTGGTCAGTACTGGGACCTTTTCCCTTGTAACTCCAGCCTATAAAATCCTACTTGGAGACTCTTGCTAATAGCAGTGAGCTCTGAGACGGGTCTCTTTACAGACAGCACTCTGGAAAGTCAGTAGAACTCACCCTTTCTCTGTTTTTATTTTCTAGTACTTCACTTGCCTGCTGTTGATCTTCCTGGCTCAGATAGCTGCTGGGCTGCTCATCTATTTCCAACAAGACAGAGTAAGTGTTACTTTCCCTATCTGTTATGAAGAATAGCATGGGTGTGAGGAATCTCTGCACCATCCCTCCAAGACACATCATGGGAAGACCTGAGAGTCCTTGTTCCAGTCTGTGTTGTATCATCTTTATGCAAACCAGTGTGACTTTCTTGTCTCCACCCACCCACCCACACACACACACCCACCTACCCTGCTGCATAGGCTGCTTCTGATGCAGGATCTTGTACTCGAGGAAACAAAGCTTCATGCTTCTTATCAAAAGTGCAAGGTATCTGATTCTCCCCAGCATCTAGCCTGGAGTTACAAACTGAATCAACAGGGATCATTGGAACTCTCTTCATTCTGACTTCACTGCTGAACCATTCTCTATTTTGAACCTTCAGTGGTGCTGGCTAAACACTGCTGCAGACCTTTTCTGCATTCACCTCTTTCATGGGAGGAAGTGCATATATCAAGATCTGACTTTGGAGTTTGAGTGAAACTGTGCTTGTAAATGCATATTTCAGTAGTACAAGGTTGGTTGCTCTGCTAAACAATGAAGAGTAATGAAGAAGAGGGCAGCATCCAGACATGGCTGTTCCTCTTGTTTCTAGTGCAGCTGCTTAGTTCTCCTATATATCACCTATTGCTTTGCATTCCTGGACTTCTTGCCCTCCTGCTATATAGCTCTTCTATCCCCACCTGTTCCTGGGTTAGGAGGACTATTCTACTCTTTCTAATGTTTCTACCTCTACTCTGAGTCTACTGAAGTGACATCTAACAGGCTGCTGCACCAAGGAATCTCTCTTAAATGGTGCTGTCTCTGTTTTAGTACATCACTTCTGGAGCTTGAAGGAACAACTCTGCAATATCTCTGTCCCAGCTATAGGTTATCAGGCCTCTAGCTACTCAGTATTTCATCTGGCTAAAACGAGGGTCATATTTGGACATAACAACAAAGGACAGCTATGCTAGCTGTCATCTTTGGCCCATAGGGCAGCTGCTGTAACCCTGTGCTTACAGGGCTATCTTGGGCTGATGTGTGCCCTTTCACATGTTATAACCCCCTGGTAGTGGTGGCACTGTGGACAGCCTTAGACTGTGTGTGTTTGGCGGGGGGGAAGCTACATGTCTTTAATTCCTTGCAACAGGCTGCAGTATTTTTTAGAGCTGGCTTCTGACAGTTTGTGGTATAAACATAGCTTTCTTTCTATTGTTTCTGTTGCAGCTGGGGGAAGAATGGAAACAGTGGTCAGCTGGTGTGAGGCACACAGCAGACTTCCGAGGGAGCTGTAGCTTTTCTGGTTCTGAGCAAGTGGCTTGTGCATGCACACAGTTCCATGAGGGGGAGGAAGGGAGTGAGTGTCTCAGGGTGAACAAGGCAAGCATGTTTCCTTGCTCCCTTCTACCCTTCCTCTTTGCTTTTGAAACTGAAGGGTTTTGTCCAACTTGCAATGTCTAGCAAGTGTCTATAATTAGGAGGGGTGGAAGGATTTCTGGGGACTACTTTGAGAAGGATCCCTGCAACAAAGTCCAAGCAGCTATGCCATTAGGTATATGTACCAGCAAGATTGTCACCTTTGCAGATCCTTTGGAGCAGAGGGCAGGAGTTGGACCTCTCAGCTGAAATTCCAGGTGCTTCCATGCTGCCTCTACAGGCTGCTACATGAACTCCCTGGGGAACTCCCTTCATGAAAGCACAGTGGCAGAAAGAGAACTTGGAGTCGTTATTGATTCCAAGATGAACATGGGCTGCCAATGTGAGGATGTGGTCAGTAAGGCTAATGGCACCTTGTCATGCATCCACAGATGCATCTCGAGCAAATCTAAGGAGGTGATCCTCCCCCTCTATGCAACACTGGTCAGGCCACAGTTCTGGGTGCTGCACTTCAGGAGGGATGTGGCCAGCATTGAGAGCCTCCAGAGGAGGGCCACTTGCATGTTTGGGGGCAGCAGGGCAGACCGCACGAGGAAAGGCTACGGGACCTGAACTTGTTCAGCCTTCACAAGAGAAGGCTGAGATGGGATCTAATGGCTGTCTATCTGGTGCTTGGGGGACCAGAGGGGAATAAGTGAGATGCTGTTCCCCCAAGTACCTCCCTGAGTAACAAGGAATAACGGCCACAGGTTGAGAGTAGGTTCAGGATAGATGTCAGGAGGCACTACTTCATAGTTGGGGTAGCCAGGATCTAGAACCAGCTTCCAAGGGAAGTGATGCTGGCTCCTGCCCTGGGGGTCTTTAAAAGGAGGCTTGATTTAATTTCCTAGCTGAGGTCATACAAGCTTAAACTTACCAGGGGTCTGGGCAGGGGGTCGGACTTCATGATCTGCACAAGTCCCTTCCAATCCTACATCTATGAATCTTTCAAAGGATTTTTGAAAGTGGGGGTGCTGCCTGATTTTGTGTGGTATATAAGATGCATCTTTTGAAGTAATGCTGTACAGAGTGTTCTGAGCTACAACTCTCTCAGCATGGCCTGCTGTGCCTCAGTTAGTAGCTGCACTTCAGTGATGCAGTGACTGTTCCTTTTGCATGCTGTCAGGAAGATAGATAAAGCAGAACTGGGGGCGGGGGGAACAGGAGGTTGAAAAGTACTAGCATGCATTGGACTTTCTAACCACTTCCCCTTCACAATTCAAGAAGTTTGTCTAGAAATAAGCTGGAGGATGAGGGAGGTTCACAAGGAGGGGACATTCAGATGAGAGATGCAGTTGATAAACCTGTACAAAGCCGATTTAAAACTTTGTTTTACAATGGACGGAACCTTTGTCTACCATCTTTTCAACGGTTATTGGCTTTAGTTGGTGGAATCTCTTCCCTTTCCTCCTTCAGGCCTACTATTCCTCTGTGGGTAGAGGAGCAAAAAACACTGGGGGTTTTTTGTTCCTTCCCTCTCGGTTTTCAGGTTCTGGCCCATTGCACGATAAAACATTTTACTTTATCGCATATGTGGCTGCTAATGCAGCCCAGGGTGCTTGCAAAAATGTTAAGCCCTTCTGAAGGGAAAGCTTCCAGACAGCAGTGTCCACAGGAGGGTAGAGTATTTCTTGATGGGGAATTTCCTGGCAGTACCTCTTCAATGAGGTGCAAAGCTGTTTGCAGAACATCCTGCTTTCCTCTTTGCTTTTCTTATTAATGAAAATATGGCCTCTTATCAGCTGGTGTTTCTTCCCCCTGGAGGGTGGAGGAGTTTTTGGGGGGGGTTTCCACGATAGTGGCATGATTCAAAAAGTTGTATCTGGTATGATATCACCGCCCTTCCATAGACGACTATCTGGACCCAAACCAAACAAGCCTACAGCTGTAGTCTAGGGTACAATTGAGGACTGCTGCAACTTATTTCAGACAATCTTTTTTGTGGGTTCTTCCTTGTGGCCTGGCTGTAAAGGCTCTTGAGTGAAAAGAGCAGTAGTCATTTTGAGACTGGCAACTTTCTATGCCCCAGTTGCTACCTATTATGTACATGGATGTTTGTTTGCAGAGACTTGCCTGTGGCTGTAACCTGCATTAATGTCAGGATCTGAGCTTATTTTGGAAGTGGAGTCTTGGTTCTTGACCTGTGATTAAAAATTGGACTTGACAAATGCAAGGAAAAAGTGCTGCAGGGAATGATTTAGCACAGAACCCAGAGAGATGGACTGGATGATCCATGAGCCTTCATCACTATGCTACATGAGTCATGCAGTAGGTGAGACTAAAAGCTAGAGACTCGGACTCATACCACCACCCACCTAACAGCGTTGGTGACTAGAAAAACTGAACTAGCCATAATGGAAGGAAGCTGAAAAATTTGCCTGCTTTCTGGCTGACCAGCAGTCCCCAGGGGCATAGAGGAAGATCTGTTGGGTAGCTGTACGCAAATTTTTCAACTTCTTTTTTTCCAGCTCACTGCTCACTTTAGTTCCCCTAGAAACAGGGTGAGGGATTTAGTGGTAGATACGTGCATTCTTCCCTGCTCTGCCAGTTAGACTTGTGAACAGGCTGTTCTACATTTTTGTTCTTAAGAACTATACTACACTGTGTAATTAAAATACCTCTCTGAAATGCTCAACAGTACCAGATTAGGAGGTAAAGTTTCTTGGAACTGGAGTTCAAAATCCTCAGTCTGTAGCTTTATGATACTCCTTCTTAATGCCCAAGGCACCAAAGCATGTGATAAGGGCAGGGTGTGCAAAGTAATACCTGAGCATAACTGGAGTTTTCCCTGAAGCTCCAAGGTGCTGCCCTGAAACAACACTCCAGGTCCATGTTCCCATATCATGCTGAGCATTGCACTGAAGTTGTGCATAGTAGTAGAGATAACAACCCCAGGATTGAATCCTCTGATTGTTCAGGGGTTTACATGGATGACCTTTTGACACTTTGGGCTAAAAGTTGGCCTGGTGAATCTGGGTGAGGGAGGGGGTAGAGACATGGCAGAAATGGCTCTTGCATAACTCTTCGTATTGTTGGCAAGATCTTTGAGCAAATAGTTTAAAGATCAGATTTGTGGGGGAACCAGCTGGTAAAGTAATGCTAAGGGGCAATCAGCATGGGTTCATAGCAGGCAGATCCTGCCTGACCAACCTAGTTTCACTTTACAACTGAGTCACAATGCTTGGATGAGAGAACAGAGGTAGATGTTGTTTACCTAGACTTTAAAAAGGCCTTTGACACAGTGTCACATCCAATTCTTATAAATCTCTATATTGCAGTTTTTAGTTTATTACACAGTCCAGTGGGTGGAAAAATTGGCTTATGGGATGCACCCAGAGTGGTGGTAGACGGGTTGGCTTCTACCTGGAGAAATGTAGGCAGCGGAGTCCCCCAAGGCTTTGTCCTGGACTGGTACTAGTCAATATTTTCATTAGTGACTTGGATGAGGGAGTAGTAAGCACCCTGCCAAGTTTGCTGACAACACAAAACTATGGGGGAAGGTAAACACTCTAGAGGGCAGGGAGCAAATCCAAGCAGATATGGACAGGCTGGAGAGGTGGGCAGAACAGAATAAGATGAAGTTTAACAAGGATGGGTGTCATGTGTTGCACTTGGGGAAGAAGAATCATCAGCACTTCTGGAGCCTGGGAGGGACCATTCTAAGCAGCACAACTGCGGAAAGGGACCTCTGAGCCATAATTGATTCCAAAATGAACATGAGTCATCAATGTGATGAGATGATAAGTAATGCTAACTGCAATGTTTCTTGCATAAGTAGGTGCATCACAAACCGGTCTAGGGAGGTGATACTTCCCCTCTATGTGGCACTGGTCAGGCCACAGGTGGAGTACTGTGTCCAGTTTTGGTTGCCGCACTTCAGGAGGGATGTGGATAACCTGGAAAGGGTTCAGAGGAGGGCCACCCATCTGGTTATAAGCTTACAGAAAAAACCCTATGTGGACCGATTGGCCACAAGAGGAGGCTGAGAGGTGATCTTGTGGCTGCCTACAAACTCCATGGGGGGGGGGATAAGACATTTACCAGGGTGACAGTCAGGGTAACTAGAAACAATGGACACGAGTTAAGAGAGCAAATTCAGGCTGGACATCAGGGCAAAAGTTCTCTACAGTGAGGGTCGCCAAAATATGAAATAAGCTTCCATTGGAGGTGGTGGTGTCCTCTTCCTTGGGCATAGTCAAAAGGAGACTGGAGAGACACCTGGCTGGGGTCATCTTGCCCTAATAACTATGAAACTGTGGGGGGGGGGGGTCCAGGGTTCAGAAACCTGTATACTTTTTTGCACCATCCAGGTGGAGTCCTGTTAGGG